CATATCTTGGTCCTCTGATTATATGTCCAAGATATTCTAGTTTACGCCTCTTAATAATATTTAATAGAGTCCGTCGATGTCCCATTCTTCGAAGAACTTTTTCGTTTCTGGTTCTGCTAGTCCATGGAATTTTTAGTATCCTTTGATACAACCACATCTCAAACGCCTCGATTTTATTCATGATATCGGCGTTTAAAGTCCAAGTTTCACATCCATACAAAAGTACAGACCACACGTAACATCTTGTAAACTTTTCACGGATTTCCAAATTTAATGAGTTATTGGATAATAGAGGCTTGAATTTTTGAAATGAGTTTCTTGCCTGTTCAATTCTACATCGAATTTCGAAGGATGGATCTAGATTTTGGGTAATCCAACATCCAAGATATTTGAATCTCTGAACTCTCTGTTCAGAGTATCTGTTCTCTCTGTATTAGTAGTAAGAAAATATCTTTGCGAACTACATCAAATATGTCATCCAAAGGTTCTGGTCAAAGTGTTCTCAGATGCAACTATAGAAGGTATTAATTGCTATTTAACTGGTAAACATACGTTTATTGACGTTTCAATTTCCACTTTGGAAATTTCAGGATTTCCGAAGTGGAAATTGAAACGTCAATAAACGTATTTTTATCTTTAATTGTGGCTTATTCCCAGTTAAATAGTAATTAATTTAAAATGCCACAAGAAAATAGCGTCAGAACAATAATGTAGAAGGTATTGTGGCGACAATAAATGTTAATGTAAACAAAGGAATAAACATTGTAATTCTAAAAATGTTTGTGTTTAAAACTTATATTTATCTGAATTTTTTTTAATAAAATTAGAAGATTTGTTATGTGGGTCTTTGTATTGCTCATACCGCGAAAAATCGTCGTGTATGTTTGACGGTCTTCGTATTTTCGCATTGTGGGGTTTTGCATCATATCCCACAACGCTTGTTCTGTGCACGTCAAAAAGGGACAATATCATATTTATTTTTGCATTATTTTATTATATCTACATATTCTTACTCAGTCGTGGGAATAATTTCAACATTCTGTTAACTTCACATTCGAGCTTAACATTCTTTCATGCACATATTTCAAATAACGATTTCACCTCTACGCCCTTTAGGCCAGAAATCGATATCATTCTGATGTAAGAAAGCCTTAGTGACTTTTTCCATGATTCGCAAACCTGGTAATTTCCGAATAGAACTGAAAATTGCCAGTAGAACGTACTGAGTAGAACTAAAATCAAGTTCATAAGAAAATAAAGATGTGTTAACTTTTACAGAATGTTACAGGTATAATTAAATATTTATAGAATGCTTTAAATGTTTTAAACTTCTGCTATTGTAACTTACTAGCGAGTAGTTGGTAGACTATTTTTAATTAGTTTAATGTGATACTTCTTCAGAATGGACCTCGTTGTGTAATGTGTATAAACGGGCTGAACGTCAAACGCGTTCTCCTATTGGTTAGGGTTTTTGCGATGCGAATTTGACTCCTGTGGTTGATTGTGTGCGTTATTCTGGTGTTGCTGGGATAGAAATGCATCGTATTGGGAATGGTTATTTTTAATAATTTAATAATTATAAAATAAGTTGGTATTGATGAATATCAAAAATACCGTCTCTAAGGATTTTAATTTATTTTAATTTTTAGGTAAATAAATTTAAAGACTTTCAGAAATCTGAATCAGAAGATAGCGAAAAATGTAAAGCAAAAAGTCGAACTTCAACCGATGTTTGTTTTTTGATAGTATTTATAGTGTTCTTAACAGCTCTGGTAAGTGTGTATTGTTTATTAATTTTTATAACGAGGATTGTAAAATTAATGATTGCATGGGCTAACAATGAAAACGCAGGTTTTTTTAGACTAAATAGTTATTTATTCAATAAGATCAAAAAGTGAATGTTTATTACTCGGCCCGACTGCTCTATTGAACAATTTAGTATTGTAACATTTTTTTATGATTAAAATATTAAATTATTTGGACTCACACAAGCAACACATTTATGAATTTTATTAAATTATTGTTAATTCTTTTACTCCCGTGCTGATACGCTCATGGTCGGTTTAACAGAGGCAAAATTTTTATTGAACCTATCGACTACCTCAAAATACGGAATAACCGACTTATTAAAAACGACGGTTTAGGTAATCCTCGGTTAATTCCTTCCGGTTTCAAGGCCGGGTTCCTTTATAATAAATTTGATAAATATCGTCGAGTCACATTGTAATGTTTTCTTTCTATAATAACCTTTCTTTCTATAATAATCCAAAGGTTTATATTTCATCACGTTCCTAGCTAACAGTTCCTAAAAAATCACTTCTGAGTGGGCACTCGTTGAGTAAACAGGTACTTCCCGTGTGGCGATCCTTAAGGGAGGACGCGTGCCTAAATTATCGTTTCCTTACCATCTCTGTGCTTTTTCTTTTTTAGTGTGTATACACTTATATAGTTTGAGTTTCGAAATTTAACTTCAGTGCTGGATACAAGTAAAGTATTATAGTAAAGTAAATTAACAGTGAATTAGTGCAGCAGTCATCATGAATTATTGTAAGTTACCATAATCTTAGTATCTCCACTTATCTGGGCGGTATCATATTATCTGCAATCATCTGCTCGAATCAAAAGTTCATCCATGTCTTCACCTGTAGTTGAGAGTAACTACTGATTTTTGTATTCAATTTAAAGAACATTCAATATTTTCTTACGAACTTTCCATCAGCTACTAAGAAATTTCAATAAATAATAGTTATGAACATTTAGTTTTCGATCATTAAATAACAGTGCGAGATAGATAATTAACTACGAGCAAGTGCGGTTTGGTTAAATTTTTATTTCTGTAACCTTTTTGTATTCTTGTAAATTTAGATTTGATTAATTTTTGATATTTGCTATAATTGTTATACATTTTTAACCCAGGAGCTCGAGATATGCCCATTAAACAGTAAAGAGAGCCTTTTTTTTAATCAACTTTGGTTGAATTTTTTTCTTACTCAGCATTAGCCCCTCTTCGCTGATAATTGAACCTGTGCATTATTATATTGTTGTATTTGTAAAGGTACTCATTATTTATATTACTGCTTATTTTTATATGTATACCACCATTTCATAATTGATGGTGTATTTTTATTAGGGATGGTTGGAACAGGGATGTTTTAACAACTGTTACAACCTGTTTCAGTTCCAAAAATTATCTGTTTCAAAAAAACTGCTTCAGTTCCAAACTGTTCCAAGTCTAACACTGTGTTATGGGTTGTTTCAGTACCGGTTCGGTTTGTTCCAGAAAGGATGTTGCATTAACAATAGACCATTGTATTTATGGTTGTATATTTTGAAAGTTTGAAGTTTTGTCGTGAGTCGACAATTCACAGTTTACAATCATGGTTTATGCGTATGCACATACTTTCCACTCCACTGGAACTGCAACAACCATATAAAAGCACAGCAATGCAACACCGGTCTCTGAAGTAATTGTAAATACACTGGTCTGTTGTGTGATAAAAACTGTTATATTGGAACAGGAAAACTTATTGATCAATATCTGTTCCAACCTGTTCCAAATAAAAACCTGTTTCGAAAAGAACAGATCCTGTTCCAAAGTGGCATCTCTAATTTTTATCTTGTGTGTACATTTAGCGACCGATATCATTGTGTTGTTGAATATATTGTTTTTTATTTTATGTATGCATTTTATTTGTCGACTCCTAACAACTTTCCTGATATAACCATAACTCTGAATATTTGCTTTTTACTGTTAATTATTACTATACCTTTGACTAGAAGAAAGATCAGGCTGATTAAGTTTCGTAGGTAAGTAGATGAACCACCTAATATATTTATTATTGGTTTATATAGTGTGTTGACCCAATTTATTTAATAATTAACTATTGATATCTTTCCTTGGATTTGGTCTCAGAACCAAAATATCTTTCCATATCTCTTTTCTTTTCTAAGGTTTCTTAATTTTCTCCTTAAACCCCAAAAAATTGAGTGGCGCCCTGTTTTTTATCTTATCGTATCTTTGGTAATTTTACCCATCTATCTTTTTGTTCATTTCTGTATCTTTTCTAATATATCTTATCTTATTCTATCTTTACTTATTTCGTCCGTTGGACCCATTCCTAGTTCCAAAAGCTAGTTTCGAACCCACGACTCGCTCTCGACTAACCATCTGGCTGCCGTCCGCAGTGTCTCCATTGGTGACCTTTCTAGCACTACCCAAAAAAGGTTTCCGAGGTTACAGTATAGTGTACCGTTTTTAAATAAAACAAGCAGTTCTTAGTTTATATAAATATATTTATTTATAAGTTTACAGCACGAAAATATGTTATCAACTAAATTCAACTCCTAAAAGCGTTCATATAATAATATAATATACTATCATCTGGACTAGTCCATCTATAGACTTCTCGTTGGAAGCGTCTCGAAGGCAAGTGCTCTTGAAACTGACATTGTATATTCGAGATTCATTCTTCCAAGAATTGTGACACGTACCCCGCATCAGAGATGGGCTATTTCGTTAAACTGCTTCCCTCTTAGATCTGAACTTCCCGATCAGCAACGTTACATGAAGGCCCAGAATCTAGTCTACAGGACTTTCTTCAGCTCTGCATGAACCCCTCAGAGAGAAATAACAGTCTACTGTCTTTGAAGGACACGGATTAATGCAACACACAGTAATTCGTTCGCCGGATTCTCGATCACTTCAAGCATGCTTCTGACAATCTTCCAATCTAGATTTTCTAGTGCGTGGCCTATCTTGGGTGAGGTCAAATTCTTGATGTCATAATTGCAGACGATTTTCTTCAAATTACTTAGAGCACGCCCTATATCCTTGTAGCTTGCCCTGACTGTATACGACTTCCTGGTCACAATATACAGCAAATATCGGGGACCATCTTCTAATCTCAGTAGTCTTCCAACTTTGGGCTGCTGATTTTTTAACTCGTCTAAACGACCGAACTTCTTATAAAATGATGAGATTCCTTTAGTCGTCTCAAAATTTTGGGCAACACATTTTAGGAACACTAAAAAGATCCTGTTGAACTTCTGTGGACGCCGAATTTATGATTTTTTCTCTCTGCGTAATTTGACATAAATTTATTAAAGCTTGGTTGCCGGTCATCTTTTATCTCATGTTGAAGAGTTTGTGCTTCTTCTGTTTCATTTAAGCCAGTATAAGATGCAAGACGATTTATGTGAACTACTTACATCCATCATCTAAAGGTTATTTACTATTCTTTGGTAGAATCGCGTCTACGTTATGGAATCCTTAGTTGGGGTGGAGTTGCAAATACATACCTCCACCAATTAGACATTATCCAGAGAAAAATATTAAAAATTATTTACAATAGACCTTTGAGATACCCTACTAATGATCTTTATACCGAAACTCAAATGTTAGATACAAGACAGTTATATATTCTTACAATAATCACCAATTTATACAAAAATAAACACTTACTCACACCATTAGGGCATACCTATCATACGAGAAATAGAGCACAGTCTTTTGTCAAATTAAATATTGCAAAGAAAACAGTTGGTAAACGAAATTTTGAGTATTTACAAGGAAGAATCTACAATTTGCTCCCTGAAATTTACAAAACATACCTAATCACTATAAACTCGCAAAAAATGATTAAGACATTGTTTACTAGGTATTTGAAACAAAATCATAGACAACTGTTCAGCCACCTTTTTGAGACCAATTAGGTTATAACTAACGTCAAATCAAGAATAGATTACGAAATCTTAAAAATTTATATATGCTATTATCTTGGTTGATTGCATGCATGAATTGTCTCTCTCTTGTTAATTAATTAATAAAAAAAATTTTGTTTGTTATTTTTTTTGTTTTATCTTAATATAGGTAATAATTATAACTAATAAAGTAGTAAAACTCGCCTTGCTGTAGGATCAATATAAATAAGCAATTTTAAAAATGGCCCATGCTCAACTTAATTGTTTTAATGGGCACTACTGTTTATTTACCTTGAACCAATTACAGAACTACAAAGTAAAAGTAATATTTTTTAAAAATTTTATTGTCATTTAATTATTTTATTGTAATATTATTAATTGTATATTTCATGGAAATAAACGTTATTATTATTATTATTATTATTATTATTATTATTACTTCTGGTTTACTTTTCGTCAACTTCTTAATTCGGTATATTACGTCATTTATTCCCTTTTTAATTTCATACGGACCCTTCCATTGTCTTTGCAATTTGGGAGAAGCCTCAACGACGTTGTAGATTATAAAGCCAAACAAGATCACCTACTTCATAACTTTCATTCTTGCATCAAGAATCATATTGATCCTTTATTCTTTTACTGATTAACTGGATATGTTGTCGGGCAAGTTCATGAATGTTGTTCATTATTTATTTCAGGCGGTCGACATAATCTTCACTTGCAACATGTTCTTCGGAAGGTCTGCAGCCAAACTCTAGGTCGCAGAGCAAACGAACTTCACGATGTAACATCAGGCAGGTTGGAGTCTGGCCTGTAGTTTCATTCACGGCCGAGCGGTAGGCCATTAGGAATAAATTAATGTGCTAGCCCCAATCTCTTTGATGTTCTGATACAACTTCGGACAGGTGTTTACTCATCGTTCGGTTCATTCTCTCGATTATTCCATCTGATTGAGGATGCAGGGGTGTCGTTCTGGTCTTATTGACACCAATCCATTTACAAACGTCTTGGAAAAGGGTTGACTCGAAGTTTCGCCCCCGATCGGAGTGGATCTCTAAGGGAACACCAAATCGGCTAAAGAATTCTTTAACAAGTACCTCTGCAAAAGTAACATCTTCTTGATTTGGTATCGCATAGGCCTCAGTCCATTTCGTAAAATAATTCATAGCTGTCAGGATATATTTATTTCCATCATTCGTCTCTGGAAGTGGACCTGCATTGTCGATTGCTATTCTTTTTATAGGACTACCAACATTGTACTATTTCATGGGTGCCTTCGTTTTACCAACTGGACCATTACTGGTTGCACACAGTTCACATTTCCGGCACCACCTTTTTACATCAGTTTTACAGTTCACCCAATAGAACTGTTCTCGAACCTTTTGCAGAGTCTTCATAATACCAAAGTGTTCACCTGATGCAACGTCATGTAACTGACGCAATACTTCTGACACTTTACTTTTAGGTACAATCAACGGAAGCTTAGATTCTGTACCATCATCGTTCTCAAAGATTCTGTACCGAAGATCATCTTTTAGTACTAGGCAATTCCATTGGCTCCAGTTTTATTTTATAATCTTCTTTGAATCAACGAAAAGTTTTCCAACCTGTGGAGACGATCAATCAATCTTACAATAAAAAAACCCGAGAAATCTTCAACAGAGTCATCCTCTTATAGACCGATCTCATTAACATGTTGTATGTGCAAATTAATGGAAAAACTAATCAATAATAGGCTTAACTGGTTTTCTGAAAAGCACAGTATAATTAGCTCCGTTCAATCGGGATTCAGACCACATTGAAGCGCAATGGACAATTTAGTATTACTACAAAACCATATAACCGAGAATTTCAATAAGCAACATGAAAAGTTATGGCAGTCTTCGATATTGAAAGCGCCTTCGATACTATTCCAAAGAATGTAATATTACAGAAATTAATCGATAATAATATTACACGCAATATTTACACGTTCATAAATATCTTTTTAAATCACCATAAATTTAAAGTTGCTATAAACGGTAATGAGTCAAATGTTCTCGAACAACTCAACGGTATACCTCAGGGCTCTGTTTTAAGTCCAACTCTGTTTAACTTAGCAATTAATGACATCTCAAAAGAAGTTCATCAAAGGGTAACTTGTTGGGCAGAGAGGGGAATTCTTCATTGCATCGTAAAAACAGACCACAATTTGTACCCAACACTATAATTAAGTATGTCATTTTCACAATGAAAACTTGAAACTTGAAAAGAGAAATAATTCGCTCCTAAATATAGAGGAAATAATAAATTTTTAGAAAATTAAGATCAGAAAACTAATAGTTTTCAGTGTTTTATGCAAACGTAAATTATTAATTTTCCTTTTCAGATATGTTTTTTGGCTTACTGTGTTTTTAATGGAGATATATTTAGAACTATAAATGGATACGATGACTGTGGAAATATATGTGGAAGAAACAACAAAAATCTGAAACATTTAGACAACAAAAGCAACGCTTCACAATGTCTTGGGACCAGTAAAGTTAACGAACCGTAAGTATTTCACATACTTGCTACATGAGCTTTTGCTTTTTTACTTTTTTCTATGACTCCTAAGGAAATCAGCTCCAAATGACTATACTGTCCCTAGGTCATATCCATCGTAGGTATACATAGGCCAACGTGGTAGCTCACTCGCCAGATGTCATTGGAATTTTTGGGTCATTGGTTTCTTCATTGTATGAAGAATAAGCGAAAAACAACTAACATTAATATCAAAACTTTTTACTCTGTAGGAACTGCAGATAATTTAGGAAATGGAGTCGATTTTTTTATCCAGAGTAAACTTACTGAACGAAAACAAAGAAAAATTAGCCATGGACTACCACCACATAGGTACAATGAACGAACGAGATACTTGACTGCTGCATGAGATAAAACCTTTACATATTGAACAACTTCCAAAAAAATCAGTGGCGCTCTGAATCATGATCATCATCATCTTTGGCTCTACAACTCTGGGTGGGTCTTGGCCTGTTCAAGAAATAGTCTCCATTCCCCCCTATCTTTCGCCCTGGCTTTCCAATTTCTGACCCCTAGATTCCCCAAGTCATCTTCGACTTGGAGTTTTAAATCTAGATCTTGGCCTCCCTCTCTTCCTGGTTCCTACTGGCTCTTGATATAATATCGATCTTTGGGAGTCTCCGGTGTCCATTCTTTCAAGGTGTCCTAGCCACCTTGGTCTGTTAATTTTAATAGACCGGACGATGTTGCATTTTTCATACAATTGATACAACTCAAAATTGTAGCGCCTGCGCCATATCTCGCTTTCTTGTACTCCTCCGTATATGTGTCTAAGTATTCTTCTTTTAAAGCGGCCTAACAGTTCTTCGTCGCTTTTTACCATAGTCCATGTCTCTGACGCGTATGTCAGGATAGGTTTAATAAAAGTTTCATATATTAGTATCTTGGTTTTTCTGCTAATTATGTATGATGTTAAGAACTGCTTTAGTCCAAAGTAAGCTCTGTTCGCCAGGTATATTCTTCTCTTAATTTCTACGCCTTCTAGGTTGCTGTTATTTAGTTGTGTTCCAAGATATATAAACTCCGAGACCCCTTCAAATGTGTGTGCTTCTGTTACCAGATCTTGTGGTGCCGCTATTTATGTGCTGTTCGCGACCTTCATTAATTTTGTTTTGGATACGTTGATCTACAGTCCCATTGTCTTCGCGGCTTTTTCTAATGTTTTAAAAGCCTGAATCAGGTCTTTTTTTATCCGTGTTACTATTTCAATGTCATCTGCGTAGGCCAATATCTGTACACTTCTATTGATGATCTGTCTCTAGTTGTTATGCCTGATTTCTCTATGACTCTTTCTAGTGCAATGTTGAACAATAGGCACGATCGACTGGCTCCCTGGCGTAAGACAGTATGTGTTTGAAAATACCTTGACACTCTGTTTTGTATATTGACTTGGCACTCAACTTTCGAAAGAGTTGCCTTTACCAATGGTAAAGGTGGTGGGTATCAATTCCATATTCATATGTCTTTCCTAAGGTTTGTCTGAGAAGGAAAATTTGATGAATTGTTGACCTTTTTTGGTGTTTGCCTATTTTTTTCTCAGTATATACTAGTAAACGATCATAAAATATATAAGCCAGTACTTTGTAAGCCGTATTTAGAAGGGTAATGCCTCGATAGTTGTCACATTTTAGTGGATCTCCTTTCTTGTGAATAGGTATTATAATACCTACATTCCAACTGTCTCTGTCTGCTCTCCAAATGGATGCAACATATTTTATTATGTATTTTTTAGGGCGTTTGCTCCATACTTAAATAGCTCAGGGGGTATACCATCTTCTCCAGGAGATTTGTTATTTGTTAAGCTTTTTATTGCCGTGGCAACTTCTTCTTCTGTTGGTATATTATTTTTCTCCCTCTCATCGTCTCCACTGTGGTCATTTATGTCAGTCACTTCTTGGTTGCCTATATTTAATTTCTCAGCAAAATTCTCCGCCTATCTCTCCACTCATTGGCTCATTGATCAGGCTCATTGATAATTTCGGCTTCCTTACTTTTTATTATGGTTATCCTAAGTTTCAATTCTTTTCTGTTATGGTTCACATTTTGATAAAATTTTCGCGCTTAGCATTGTGAATTGAGCTTTTCTAGTTCCTGTAGCTGATTTTCTAAATCTCGTTTTTCCTTTTGTTTTAGTATCTTTTCTCTGCTTGTCTCATCTGTTTGTACTCCTCTTGATTTTGTCTTGTCCTTCTGTTTTGGAGTTTCCCATACACCTGATTGTTTTTTTTTTTGAGTTTCCTGTGCGCGTTCCGCATTATGCCATTCTGTCCCCTTCCTTTCTTGTTTCTTCTTTCCTACAACTGTTGTTGCTACTTCTTTCAGGATATTTTCGCACTCATTCCAGTAATTATTTATGTGAATATAAGGTTGAATGTTCGAATAAATGAACTTTGATGGTACACAAGGCAAATATCGAACACAGTATTTAATCAAATCTTGCCCAAGTACTTTCGACCACAAGATCATTTCAGGGGCATCTGAAATAAGCCAAGAAACGTTTTTTTTAAAAGGAAAATTAATTCACTTGGATAAAAACTCCAAGTTTATAGTTGAAAAAAGTTTTTTTATGTGATTAACGTTTATAGACTTACTTCGTCAGTTGTGGCCTATCCAGCAGTAAAAAATGTCATAAAAGTAAATTGGGACATAACAAATACACTACACAAAGACAAACAAACACTTTAAAATTTAAAATTGAAGAAGCTACATTTTATATAGAAGCCGGAGACAGAATGGCTCCCAGCCTGGCGGAGGCGGAAATATTGAGATGACATGTGACAAATGACAGCTTGTGAAGGGCAGTTACAATAGATAAGTGATCTGCGCCTTTCAAGATTCTATGAAACTAAGTATTGACCAAAGGTCCAACTGACACCACTATAGGAAATCAACTGAAGAAATATAAAATTATATCTAATATTTTTATGTAGATTGAATAATCCAGATCTCACATTCAAACCTGTCTATAATAATTAGGATGTTAGTTTGAGAGCAATTAAAGTTGACATAAAGTATGAATGTAAGAAATAGACTAAACAATATATTAGACAGTAGATAGTTGACTACAATAAAATGGTCCACTAAGCGCTATCAGTACTGTAAAAAGAAAATCTGAATATTCAGTTGAATTGCTAAAAATTAAAATCAAAATTAAAAGCAAAATATATAAATGGGTTGTAATCCAAGTAGTTCAGTTGAATCCACAGTCAATGGAAGAACTTTCAAATTAATATGTAAATACTCAGTGCATGAAGTCTAAACAGTCGAGCTGGGCCCTCTACGAGGTGGAGCTGTAATAAAGTTTTTAAATATAGGATTAAATTTAGTATAATTTAAATTAATTTGAGTATTAAGACAGTGAGAGTTTTCATTTGTTTCCCTTGTAATCTCCAAATCTTCCAATAAATCCAACTCAAGATAGTTTTTCTTTCTACTGATGTTATGTAAGATGGATGAACCAGAATTGATGTTAAAATTGTGGTTGCTGGATACTAAGTGTTAACCAAAACTTGAAGAGTTTGGTCTTTTCAAATGTTCAGAGACTCTAGTGGATAACTTTCTGATGGTTCTACCTACATAAGAGGCATCACAATCATCACATTTTAATTTGTAAATACCACTTTTATCAAGTGTATTCATCCTATCTTTGGTATTGATTAAGAAGGAGCCCAAAGGGTTATGTGATTTAAACGAGATTTTGATGTTATCAATTGTAGAAGGTTTTGTAAAAGGAATTGTAGAATTATCTAGAAGGTTGTGTACTTTACCTTTAGTACACAACCTTCTAGATAATTGCAACATATCTGCAAAGGATAAAGATGCTATATCAACTATGCTTAAATTCTGTCTTGATCAGGACTTCTTTCAATTTAACCAAAAGATATATAAGCAACCAACAGGTTTAGCAATGGGATCTCCATTATCACCTTTTCTAGCTGACATTTTCTTAGACAGCTTAGAACAGAAGTTTGTTAATAACAACAACAAAATAGTTTTTTGGTCAAGATATGTGGATGATTGTATAGCTTTCATTAAGGGAACCCAAGATGATGCTCTACAGATTCTGGATGATCTCAATAACCTCTATCCTAACATCTCTTTTACTCTGGAACCAGAATCTGACAATAAGTTGAACTTCTTGGATATGACTATATCCCGTAACAAAAATTCTTTAGAGTACAACATTTATAGAAAACCCACCCAAACAGATCACGCTATACATGAAACGTCTAACCACCCAACTCAGCATAAAATGGCTGCTTTCAACAGTTACATTCATCGATTACTTAAATTTCCTCTTTCTGATGATAATTTTAATACAGAACTCAATACTCTTAAGCAGATTGCTGTCAATAATGGCTATGATCCTAACATTATATACAAACTTCTAAATAGAGCTAAACTAAAAATTGCAGAAAAGCTTGCATATTCATCACAGTCTTTTCAACCTAATGTTTCAGGTAACATCAGATATTTTTCCTTCACTTATATTAGCAGCATTTCCAATAAAATATCTAAACTTTTTACTTCTACAATTGATAACATCAAAATCTCGTTTAAATCACATAACACTTTAGGCTCCTTCTTAGTCAATACCAAAGATAGGATGAATACACTTGATAAAAGTGGTATTTACAAATTAAAATGTGATGATTGTGATGCCTCTTATGTAGGTAGAACCATCAGAAAGTTATCCACTAGAGTCTCTGAACATTTGAAAAGACCAAACTCTTCAAGTTTTGGTTAACACTTAGTATCCAGCAACCACAATTTTAACATCAATTCTGGTTCATCCATCTTACATGACATCAGTAGAAAGAAAAATTATCTTGAGTTGGATTTATTGGAAGATTTGGAGATTACAAGGGAAACAAATGAAAACTCTCACTGTCTTAATACTCAAATTAATTTAAATTATACTAAATTTAATCCTATATTTAAAAACTTTATTACAGCTCCACCTCGTAGAGGGCCCAGCTCGACTGTTTAGACTTCATGCACTGAGTATTTACATATTAATTTGAAAGTTCTTCCATTGACTGTGGATTCAACTGAACTACTTGGATTACAACCCATTTATATATTTTACTTTTAATTTTGATTTTAATTTTTAGCAATTCAACTGAATATTCAGATTTTCTTTTTACAGTACTGATAGCGCTTAGTGTACCATTTTATTGTAGTCAACTATCCACTGTCTAATATATTGTTTAGTCTATTTCTTACATTCATACTTTATGTCAACTTCAATTGCTCTCAAACTAACATCCTAATTATTATAGACAGGTTTGAATGTGAGATCTGGATTATTCAATCTACATAAAAATATTAGATATAATTATATATTTCTTCAGTTGATTTCCTATAGTGGTGTCAGTTGGACCTTTGGTCAATACTTAGTTTCATAGAATCTTGAAAGGCGCAGATCACTTATCTATTGTAACTGCCCTTCACAAGCTGTCATTTGTCACATGTCATCTCAATATTTCCGCCTCCGCCAGGCTGGGAGCCATTCTGTCTCCGGCTTCTATATAAAATGTAGCTTCTCCAATTTTAAATTTTAAAGTGTTTGTTTGTCTTTGTGTAGTGTATTTGTTATGTCCCAATTTACTTTTATGACATTCTTTTACTGCTGGATAGGCCACAACTGACGAAGTAAGTCTATAAACGTTAATCACATAAAAAAACTTTTTTCAACTATAAACTTCGAGTTTTTATCTAAGTGAATTAATTTTCCTTTTTTAAAAAAACGTTTCTTGGCTTATTTCAGATGCCCCTGAAGATGATCTTGTGATCGAAATTACTTGGGCAAGATTTGATTAAATACTGTGTTCGATATTTGCCTTGTGTACCATCAAAGTTCAATTATTTATGTTTTCAACAGTACTGCTCATTTGGTCTTCTAGTATTTCTTTAAGTTTGTGTTTAAATTTTCTAACTATATTAATGTTTCGTAGTCTGTTCACCTCGAATTTATCTTCCTTGCCTCCTTTACCTTTTTTTGCGTTAGAGATTCGTGCCCGTAGTTTAGTCTGGACCAGGTAGTGATCGGAGTCAATGTTAACTTGTACATTCATGACATTACTGTAATGTCTTGCGTCCACAACTACATGGTCAATTTGATTAATTGTGTTACCATCTGGGATATCCCAAGTGCCTTTTTGTATATTTTTACGCTCAAAGCATGTGCTAGCTATCACCATATTCGTTGAGGTCGCAAGGTGTATTAATCGTGTTCCATTGTTGTTCGACACGTTATGGAGGCTATATTTTCCAATGATGGGTAGGTAATCGTTTTCTTTTCCTATTTTTGCGTTGAAATCTCCCAGTACTATTTTTATATCACTTCTAGGGCAGTTCCGCATTATTTTTTCCAGTTTTTCGTAAAATTCATCCTTTTCTTCGTCTAGCTTATCTTCTGTGGGTACATGGGCATTAACTACTGAATATTGGAAAAAATTTTCCTAATTCTTATTTTGCATATTCTGTCGCTTATGGCTTTGAAGTCTATTACTAGGTACTTCACTCTGCTGCTGACTATAAATCCTGTTCCAAGTTTATGCTCTGTTGGGTGGCAGCTATAGTACATTGTATATTTCTTTTTCTCGAATTTTTTTTCCCAACCACCTAACCTCTTGAAGTGCTAAGATGTCTATGTTATATTTATCCAGGATGTCGAGGAGTTTTCGCAATGCTCCAGTTATATATAAGGATCTCACATTCCACGCACTTAATTTAACTTTTTTTCCTTTTTCTCGCCAAGTCGTCGTCTAGATTTCAGTCTGGAAACTTTTTCTTGAATTCTCGTAACATTATACTCTTATTTAATAGAAAGACTAAAAAAATCCCAACGTCATAAACAATGTCATCATAAAAAGGGCGACCTACAGAACTCTTTTATGAAACATAAACAAATAAGTCTTTAGTCCAACGAGATTTCAATTAATAAATTCCATCCCTGGGCTGATAATCTGGAAGGACTTTAAAATATGCTTCCACAGCTGTTATGACCTCATCATTTGATGAAAAAAGCTTTAGGTATTAAAAAAAGGTATTAAAACAGATATAAGTCGCTAGGAGCCAAATCTGGTGAATACTGTGGATGCTCCTATAATTCGAACTGTAATTCATGCATTTTACCCATTGTCAAAATGGTCATATGACAAGGTGCATGGTCCTGATGAAATATCATTTTTTATTTGGTATACCGGACCTTTTTTCTCGAATTTGTTTCTTCGGCTACTCTAAAAGGTTACACTAATATTCAGAATTTATTGTTTTACCAGTTTGCAAGTAATCCATAAACAAAATTCTTTTCATATTCCAAAAAACTGATGGTAATACCTTCTTGGTCGATTACCGGACACGAACTCGTTTCGGAGCTGAAGAACCAGATACACACCATTCTTTAGCCTCTTGTTTTAATTCAAGATTATGATGATATACCCAAAGTCCCATCCATAGTGATTAATCGATGCACAAAATTACTTGCTTCATCTTTTAACTTTCTTTAAATACCTTCATTTTTTTTTAGATACCACATAGTATTACGACAGAGTTCATCAAAGGAATTTAATAGACTGTGCATATCAGATTGCAGTTTGTACGAAGGATAGTAAGTAAATGTTTTTAATACTTTTTTTTTGTAAACAACGATAAACAACTACATAATTACAGCATAATATGGTATTAAAATAAAAAAAGAAAACATCGCTTATCTGGGTTTTAATATAAATGCCAATGGGGATATGAGCACAGACATAAAAACTACATTGAAGAAAAGGCCTGCGCAGTGTTCTTTCGAATAAGAAAAAACATTATGTGGATGAAGTATGGCCAGAAATTTGTAACTGGCTTCTTACCCATATCGGATAGAGTTATGATGGATGCACTAAAAACAGCTCAATCTAGAATCAATATAATTCAAGGCTATGCTCCCACAGCAGAAACATCGGATGAAGAGCTCGAACAGTTTTATAATGAATTACAACAGTCTTTAGAAGTAACCAAGTCTAGAGATGTTATAATAGTCATGGGAGATCTAAATGCAAGAATCGGTAGAGGAAGTCAAGGTGATTTTATTGGAAATTTTGGACTGGGCACCCGTAACGAGAGAGGAGACAGATTGGCTCAATCCTGCCAAGAGTCCGATTGTATTGTCGCGAATACTTATTATGATCTGCCGCCCAGGAGACTCTATACATGGAAATCTCCATCAGACAACCAACATAACGTCATCAGAAACCAAATTGACTACCTTCTCATCTGCAAACGATGCCGAAATTCCATAAAATCAGTAAAAGCATACCCCGGTGCTGATGTAAGATCAGATCACAACCCAGTTGTGGGAAGGTTTAGAATTAATTTAAAAAAGCTTGTGGCTAAAACTAAAGTAGAGAGGATACAAGTATTCCGTTTGAGAGATCCATCAACAAAAAACAAGTCACACTAAAAATTAAAGAAGAGCTCACCAAAATAAAAATTATTCCTACTGAAGATGCGAACAGTAAATGGCATATGTTAAAAGATGCTCTTATACGCACATGTGAAACAACACCTAAGCTGATTAAGACAAAAATGAATGGATGATCGTTGAGATTCTGAATCTCATGGAAGCAAGAAGATCTTATAAAACCAAAGACAAAAACATGTGTAATATTATACACACAGAAATAAGGAGAAAGATCAGAGATGCAAAGGAAATATGGTATAGTGACAGATGCGAAGAGATTGAACAGTTGGTAGAGAAATGCGATAACTTAAAAAAAATAAAAAAATTAGGGAAATAACAGGCACTAATATTAAGAAATAATCAAACATACTACTGGATAAACATGACAAAATAATTATAGACGTCGGTGAAAAGCTTAAAAGATGGCAGGAATATATGCAAGAGCTATTTAAAGACGAACGGACTGAGATAGTACTGGAGCAGGAAAAGTTCGACAACGGCCCAGACATAACTGAAGCTGAGGTATTAGAGGCGATAAAGCGAACAAAGAACAACAAGGCAACAGGTCCTGATGAATTACCTGTAGACATAATACGGTTAATAGAAGAACAGCAAATTGGAATATTGGTCAACTTATTCAATACAATATACAGTACAGAAATCATTCCCAAATATTGGCTGATGTCAACGTTCATAACACTACCTAAAAACCAAATGCAAAAGAATGCCAAGACCATCTGATAATAAGTTTAATGAGTCATACGCTCAAAATATTTTTAAAAATTATACACCGGAGAATACACAACAAACTTGAGCAGGACATAAGTGACACACAATTTGGATTTAGAAATGCACTTATGTTAATCAGCCAGTATATATGTGTTTCTTGGATTACAACAAAGCCTTCGATAAGGTCAGACATAAATATCTTATCGAATTTTTTTTTATTTAGAAATTACAGCCGCATCCACCATAATGGTTATTAGCGGCGGCTACAGAATTACAAAATTAGAGTTTATTAAATATTCCTATAGATTTTAAGAAGTTTACAATATTACTAGCTGAGAAATTAGTGCCTAATAAATTACTTAAACTGTTAGGTATGTTAAATGTAACACGAGAATTGTCAAATCTATGGCATTCAATTAATAAATGGTTAACGGTTAATTGTACATTACACGTTTCGCAAATAGGTGGATCACTTTTGAAAAATAAATATGAGTGAGTAAGTCTCGTGTGTCCAATTCTTAATCTCGTTATCACCAATTGTTCTCTTCTGTTCCTTGTTGAGGGTTCCCAAGCTGCAACGTCATTTTTAATTTGCTTCAGTGATGTTTGAGAAGATTGCCATTCGTTTTTCCACTTGCACAAAACTTGATTCTTTATAAAAGCTTTTATATCACTCGCGGTATTTCGATACTCGGCTTTTTCGATATCGGCACATTTAGCAATTTCACTCGCGCACTTGTCCGCACTTTCGTTGCCAGCAATGCCAATGTGGGATGGAATCCATATAAATCTGATCCTCCTAGAATTTTCTTGAGCTTGCATGAGTTCTAGTTTTATCAGTTTCTCAAGGGGACCTTTAGGATAGATCTGTTTAAGGGTTTGAAGCGCGCTTAGTGAGTCACTTAAGATAGCAGAATTAGGAATGTTATTAGAATTTATATGTATGATAGGTTGGAAGGTTGGAAGACGAAATTTATACGTATGGTTTGGAGTAACGAAAGCAGCACCTACTCCTTTATCACACTTAGATGCAGTTGTAAATATTTTATAGCAATGTTCGTAATGCTTACGGAGAATTAGATCTAGATTATTCTTAATCTCTGCGTGGCAGTTAATATGTTTGTCGTATTGGGTTAAATCAGTGTTTATATTTGGGGCATTAATTATCCAAGGAGAGGGGTTTTTGATATTGATTGGAAAGGTTATTGGGAATTCGATATTGAGACATCTCAGGTAACACCGTACTCGCTCATAGTAAGGCTTATGTTTGGTACTATTGGTAAAGAGATTTATATATTTATTAGTGAACGTATTACTAAATAGAGGTTTGTTTACATTTGAGGCTATTGACGTTGCGTGTCATAGTGTTGAGGAAATTCGGCGATGATATAATGAAGGCTCCCCACTTTCCGAATATAAACTTTCCACCGGTTATGTTCGAAATGCGCCAAGAGAGAGTCTAAGTGCTGTGTTGTGAATAGAATCTAACTGTTTTAACAATGTGGTGGAAGCAGAGGCGTAAGCGATTGATCCATATTTAATTTTTGATCTAATTAGAGTTCTGTAGATTGTAAGTAAGGTAGAGAGATCAGAGCCCCAATATCTATTCGACAGTGTTCTCATTAGGTTAAGTTTCTTATGACAACTCAAAACTAATTGTCTTATATGTTCTTTCCAAGTAAGTTGAGTATCAAAATACATACCTAAGAATTTTACACATGATTTCAAGCATAGCGATGTATTGAAAAACTTGAGATTGGGATTATTTGAGAAGTTCTTTTTTGAGAATACCATACCAACGTTTTTGTAACCGAGAATTGAAAACCAGTATCGCGAGACCACTTTTCGAGTTTTTGTAAGAAATTTTGCAAAATTGTTTTAAATTAATATCTTTGCCTTTTACATAAACCACCAAGTCATCTGCATATAAACGTGCTTTTAAAGGTTTTTGGAGGTTTTTAAGTATGTTATTAATAGCAATTAAGAAAAGTGTAGGACTAATAATTGAGCCTTGAGGGATACCGTTTTCTTCCTCCTGCATTTCGGAATAGTAGTTGTTAACTCTTACACGAAAAGATCTGTTTTCTAGAAAGTTCTTAATAAAATGAAGGCAATTTCCACGAATGTTCCATGAATGTAACTTTTTTAAAATGTTGAATCTCCAACATGTATTAAATGCTTGTCTTAAGTCAAAAAACACTGTGATACAATACTGTTTTGTTGCCAGAGATTCATGGATATCACTTTCCAGGCCTAATATGTTGTCTATCCCTGATCGGTTTTGTCGAAAACCATTTTGTTCGTTTATAAGTAAGTTCGAATTTTCTAGATGCCAAGTCAGCCTTGAGTTATTAATTTTTTCTAATAGCTTGCCCATTGCACAAGTAAGGCTTATCGGTCTATAGGAATTGGGGTGTAGACGAGATTTTTGGCTTTTGAGAAATGGGAGAATGATATATTTTGACCAAACAGATGGGTACTGGTGTCGCTGCCAGATGAAGTTAAATAATTGAAGCATGTAATTTTTACCAGATGTGGGTAGATCTTTTAAGAAAATAGTTGGGATATCGTCAGGCTCAGGACTTGTTTCTTTTAGATCATTTAGTGAGTTTCCAACAGAGTTTACCAACAGAGGTTGGATCTTTCGGCTTCTAGTTTATTTTCCAGAAACACAGGGTCAAAATTTTCATTGGAAGATATTTCTCTGTAGTTTTTAGCTAATATATTGGCAATTTCTAGAGGAGAGGTGACAATTTGATTACCTATTTTGAGACTAGATATTGGGGATGACTCCCTTATGCCAGAAATTTTGCGTATTTTCTTCCATACTTCTCTTACAGGAGTGGAGCTGTTAATGCTAAAGACATATTGGGCCCAACTGGATTTTTTGGTTTGATTTACTAAACGTTGAGCTCTAGCCTTCATTTTTTTGTAGTTAATTTTATTTTCCAGTGTTTTATGCTTCTTAAATCTATTAAAAGCTGTTTTGCTGGCACGTACTGCGTCGTTACATTCCGAATTCCACCAAGGCACAGGAACATGATTTTCAATGGGCTTTGTTTTGCCGATGAAGAGCTCCGCACTCTGCAAGATGATACTATTACTTGTATACTCGAATTACTTGTAAAGAAAAACTTAGATATGAGAGACATCAGAAATATAACAAGGATATAGACAATAAGAACTAACTATGGGAATAAAAGTAAATGGCCGACCAATCAATAATATACAGTTTGCCGACGAGTCCGACGACACTATTTTATTAGCGGAATGTCTTGAAAATTTACAACAAATGGTTAACAAAGTGGTAGAAGTCAGTGAAGTAAACGGATCGTCCCTAAACACAAAAAAGACACAATTTATGGTAATTACAAAAGCCCAACAGCGCCAAGAAAACATAACAATACATGGACAACAAATTAAAAAGTTGAAAA